TGTGAATGACAGCTCCATCTTTCACACTGGTTTGTAGTGGGTCCTCAGAGTTGGGCAGGCACTCTCTTATTATAATCAAAGAGAAATGTTAGCATAACTTAAATCTAGGACAAAAAGCTCAATGAAAATATAGTTATAACCAATTTTAATACTTTGATTATTGAAAAAAAACATGAGTCAGAAAATAATTGGGTAAAAATTAGTCTCATTATGTCACAGTTATAGCATGGAAATCTGAGCCCTGTTATGATATTTAAATTAGTAGCCAAGGATGTGATCCTTATTACCATGCACAGGAGGAATATGTTGGTTTTGTCAGATATTTAGAACAAGGACTTCTATATGTATCAGGTTTTGTGCTGGGTATTGCTAAAGCAAAAATGAATAGAGTATTTTCTGCCTTTGGGGAACTCACATACTAATTTGTGACAGAAACAATACCTTTATAAAATGTGAGTAGTGTTATAATAGAAAAATATAAAAACTAGAGTCAGGTAGGTAAAACCCTGATACCACTAACCTGGAGAGGGGGGAGTGGTGTAGTGAATGGATGTGTTACAGAGGGGGAGAAAACAATGCAAGTTATCTTCCACACAAAATGAACCTGAAAACACACATTCCAAAACTTATAAAGAAATCTAATGGTAAGAAAGGCAACCAATAGATGAATAATTGTGGCAGAAAGTATACATGTAAAATTGGGAAAAAATAAAACAGCTAAAGGGTGCATATAAGATGAAGCAGAACAGCAAGTTGAAAATAAAGGAAACCGATACACCTTTCTATTACTTACAAAAAAGCTGGTGCTGCAATCTTAATATTAGACCAGCTGGAACCTAAGGAGAAAGAAAAAATCTAGGGAAAATTAAATTACCAAGTTGTCTAAAACATTAGTGCTGATAAAGAAGATGAAAGCAAAGATCTACTGAGAAAATACTACAATCATGACTTTGTGTGCACCTATTCACATAGCTTCAAAACATAAGAAACTAGAAACGATAGTATTCAATGATGCAATCATACTAGAAACTGGTATATCAAGCAGTAACACATTAGTAAGTATGAAATTTAACAAAGTTAAGTAACAATCTAAAGAACATATATAAAATAATGACTATATACTCTATTTTCAACTTTTTGAGGAACCTCCACTCTGTTTTCCATAGTGGCTGTACCAGCTTGCATTCCCACCAACACTGTAAAAGGGTTCCCCTGTTTCAGCATCCTTGCCAACATTTGTCCTTTCCTGAGTGGTTAATTTTAGCCATTCTGACTGGTGTGAAGTGGTATCTCATTGTTGCTTTGATTTGGATTACCCTGATGCCGAGTGATGTGCTGATCATTTTTTTCATGTGTCTGTTGGCTATTTGGATGTCTTCTTTGCAGAGGTGTCTGTTGATGTCTTCTGCCCATTTCTTGACTGGATTATTTGTTCTTTGGGTGTTGAGTTTCATAAGTTCTTTATAGATTTTGGATACTAGCCCCTTATCTGATAAGACATTTGCAAATATCTTCTCCCATTCTGTTGGTTGTCTTTTGGTTTTGTTGACTGTTTTCTTTGCTGTACAAAAGCTTTTTATCTTGATGAAGTCTCAATATTCATTTTTAGTTTTGTTTCCCTTGCCTTTGAAGATGTGTCTAGCAAGAAGTCGCTGCAGCCAAGGTCGAAGACGTTACTGCCTGTGTTCTCTAGGATTTTGATGGATTCCTTTCTCACATTTAGGTCTTTCATCCATTTTGAGTCTATTTGTGTTTATGTTATAAAGAAATGGTCCAGTTTCATTTTGCATGTGGCTGTCCAATTTTCGCAACACCATTTTTTCAAAAGACCGTCCTTTTTCCATTGGATATTCATTCCTGCTTTGTTGAAGATGAGTTGACCATAAAGTTGAGGGTTCATTTCTGGGTTTTGTATTCTGTTCCACTGGTCTGTTTTTGTGCCAGTACCATACTGTCTTGATGATCACATCTTTTTAATAGAGCTTGAAGTCCAGGATTGTGATGCCACCAGTTTTGCTTTTTTTGTCAACATTCCTTTGGCTATTCAAGGTCTTTTCTGGTTCCATACAAATTTTAGGATTATTTGTTCCAGCTCTGTGAAAAAAGTTGATGGTATTTTTATAGGGATTGCATTGAATGTATAGATCACTCTAGGTAGCATAGACATTTTAACAATATTTGTTCTTCCAATCCATGAGCATGGAACGTTTTTCCATTTCTTTGTGTCTTCCTCAGTTTCTTTCATAAGTGTTCTATCATTTTCTGAGTACATATCCTTTGCCTCTTTGGTTAGGTTTATTCCTAGGTATCTTATGTTTTTTTGTGCTACCCTACAACCCAGCAATTGTACTAGTAGGGATTTACCCCAAGGGTAAAAATGTAGTGATCCAAAAGGGCACCTGCACCCCAATGTTTATGGCAGCAGTGTCCAAAATAGCCAAAATATGGAAAGAGCCCAGATGTCCTTTGACAGATGAATGGATAAAGAAAGTGTGGTACACACACACACACACACACACTGGAATACTACTCAGCCATCAAAAAAGTGAAATCTTGCCATTTGCAATGACGTGGATGGAACTAGAGGGTATTATGCTAAACAAAATAAGTCAATCAGAGAAAGACAATCATCATATGATATCACTCATATGTGGAATTTAAGAAACAAAACAGAGGATCATAGGGGAAGAGAGGAAAAAGTAAAACAAGACAAAACCAGAAAGGTACAGAAACCATAAGAGACTCTTAATCATAGGAAACAAACTGAGGGTTACTGAAGGGGAGGAGGAGGGGGGATAGGGGAACTGGGTGATGGATATTAAGGACAGCATGTGATGTAATGAGCCCTGGGTATTATATAAGACTGATGAATCACTGACCTCTACCTCTGAAACTAATAATACATTATATGTTAATTAATTGAATTTAAATTAAAAATAATATAAATGCAATTTAAATATTTTCCTAAAAATGTAAATTAAAAAATGCAAAAATAAAAATTATTTTAAATGTAAAAAAATAAATTAAAATGATTATATGCAGTAAATGGAGAATATTTACTACTCTCAAATACACAGAAAGCTATTTCCAAAAACACTCTTTTTTTTTTTAAAGATTTTATTTATTTATTTGAGAGAGCGAGAATGAGAGATAGAGAGCACGAGAAGGAAGACGGTCAGAGGGAGAAGCAGACTCCCTGCTGAGCAGGGAGCCCGATGTGGGACTCGATCCCGGGACTCCAGGATCATGACCTGAGCCGAAGGCAGTCGCTTAACCAACTGAGCCACCCAGGCGCCCTCCAAAAACACTCTTAATGAATGAATAAAAATGAAACATTTTCTTTTGACAATACAGTGGATTTAGAAATAAACTAAAAGATATTTTTAAACATTTATATATTTGGAAAAAGAAAAGCATCTTTAATTCAAACATTCAAGAAATGTCATAATGGCAGTTAACAAAATACTTTGAAATAAATGATGATAAGAATAATCCTAAAGTAAGTAAAAGGAAAAACAATAAAACAATACAGAAAATGAGGAAATATAAAATCAAGAAACAAAGAGAACAAATAGTTCTTTGACAGATCTAATATAATAGGGAAACCCCTAACAAAACTAATCAAGACGAGAAAAGCCTAAGTAAATAACACTTGCAACGTAAAGGAGCCATAACCAGGTGCACTAAGTAGTTAGAAAGAACCACGATGGCATACTGAAATCAATGTTTTGAATATATTTGAAACTAGCTGACAAGTAATTTTGTGTGGTTTAAGCTGGTAAAACCAATAGCTACTAAATAAATTGAAACGGGGTGGAGCCATGATTTGATTCATGACAAACTGAGTCTATAAAATGGCAAAACAGTTCACATTAAGAGATGTTACAAAAATGGAATTTAAATATAGCTTTTGAATCAATAAATAATATCGATACAATATCACGAAGTCACTAATTTCCCCTCATTACCCATGATTGCCCCGTCCCTCTTTTATCATTCTCACTGGAATTTCTAACTCGCCGTCCATAAATTTCTGTAGTGCATGTCCTTTCCCATAGGGCTTCAGTAATTCACGGAGCTCTTCCTCGTGAGGTCTTCCTGTGGCTCAGCTTTGTATCATTGTGTCTGTGGTTATGACCAGTTCCCTCAGCTGGCTTGCAGCCTGGCTGCAGTGACCTCCTCGCCCCCGCAACCCCCACGGAACCTAGCACGGTGCTTTCCCCAGTGTGAGATCATATGGAAGGCTGAGGGGATGCGTGGGCATCACCTTCCACCCTGCAGAAACAAGCAGTCATAAGACATGACCTTACAGAGTCCGTCTCTGCTGCCTGCAGCCCTGGTTGGCACTCTGACATGCTGAAGGGCAGACAGGCAAAGAGCTTCACCTCCCTCTGTTGTGCCCACAGCTCAGGTTTCAGCCTTCTAAATATAAGGTGTGCTCAGGAGTCCCAGAGCACAACTGCATTCACTGCAGAGTGCTCCTGGCCTGTAGAACTCGGTCCCTCCTGGATCACGTCCACACTTTGAGTGTGTGTTTTCTGAGGAAAGCTTAGAACACGTTTGTTTAAAAGAACAAATTGGAGAAAACAAATAGGTGAGAGACTATATCATGGCTGTCTTAACACTTTTTCTCTGACTGACCTTTAGGTTTACTTCATTTGGAACAAGTTGTGGGCATTGTTTGTAGTTGGATAGTTGGATATATTTTTTTCTTGCTTTTCCAAATGAATATACACATTGATTGCACTTTTTTTTGTAGTATATTTGATTACAATTTTGTGTAAGCTTTTTAATTCTATTAGATATTTATTATATGGTAAATTATGTTGCTTTGCAAAAATATATATGTATATATATTTTTCCATATATGTATATATACATATGTATACATATATGGAAAAAGAAAAGGAAACTCCGTGCAATTAACAACCTCTCTTTCCCTGTCACTGTCCCCAGACGGCTGTTCGCAGTCTCTCTGGCTCTTGTTCACAGGGAAAACAATGGCATCAGTACCTTCCATTGGTTGCCTGCTGGCCAAAAATCAGTATTATCGAAGTAAGTTGTTATCATCACTAGAGTACTGTATTCCCAGAGAATGTGATTTGAGGTGATGTTTGTGAGGTATTACTAACCTACATATCGTGTCCTGCTCAGATCTTAAGGGACAAGACTTGACAATTGTCTGTGACAGTGAAGAAAATAGGAATAGAACTCATTCAAACCTCTTTGAATCAATATAGTTAAGGCTTATCTCTTTGTTTTAACTCTGTTATATTATACCATATTGATGAAACCATTAACACTTATAAATAAGTGAAAATAAGCTTACATTTCATAATTATGTTTTAATTTCATGTATCTTGCATTTAATGGCATACATTAAAGGCTGATAATTTTACCTAAAGAAAATGCTATTTATTTCTTATGAAAGAAGGGATAGCATGACTGTTTCAAGGATTCTTTAATTTCCATTTTCTCTTGGCTAATAGGTCAGCTTCTATTTGCCAGTTTTATTTTTATTTATCTATCCATCTGTGAATATTCATAGCTGAATAAAAAGTTCTAGCTTCTTAAAGAAAATTTGGAAATTTCATAGAATGAAACAATCATTCAGAAACAAATTATCATCTACTGAAAACATGCCCACGTGTCAAAAATTCTAATTTCAAGTTTTCTTTGTAGATAAAACTTGGAAATGTCTGTTGATTTATTCTTTTTATAAAATTGTTTAACTATTTCCATTTACTTAGTGTTATTATATCCATAGAAGTTATTTTTATATTCTGATAGTTTAAAAGACTTATAGGTTTAAAATACAAGTATGATAAAACAAAATAAAATGTTTATTCTTTAAAAATAATTCCTTTATTTCTAAATTTATAACTTTTGTAGAATATTTAAATATATGCACATGTAATATTTCTAATGTAATACAATAATATTCATTCTTGATTTTGTACTAAGATTTTGAATTTGGTGATATTTATGTTTTAAATTCTACATCTATATCTATGGAGAGAGACAGAGTTGTCCACCATGGAAAGAAATATATCTTAGTAATAGAAAATGTAAGAGTGTGCTAGGAGACCATTGCTCTTTCAAGTAGCTCTCTTCCAGGCTTGGTCCGGTGGTCGGCATGGCCCGCAGAAATCAGCAAGAACTTGCCCACCAGAAAAACATGAAGAAATCTCATGAAATTAGGAAGGGAAAAAGAAAGGATAGCTTGACTACCTCTCAGAGAAAGCAGAGGGACTCTGAAATAATGCAGCAAATACAGAAGACAGCTAATGAGAAGTCTACGCAGACAAGAAAAAAATGACGACTATTTGGAAAACCTGGGTGCTATTTGCCAACTAGGTGTATCATAAGCTCTATGATCAAAATTTTGTGGAGCGAACAGTCATATGTTATGACATATCTTTTAAAAATTATCTTAAACTTAAAAAAAGAACATGTAATATGCTTTTTCCAGAAGACTATTTAATTGACAATTTAATCCATTTTTCAATTCATGAAGTCATGATCCAGGAGTTTCAAACCATGCTACTTTGCTACTTGGGAGTTTATGCATAAACAATATGTCTGTGTTTGTTTGCCCATTATTTATTTGTTTATTGATTCTCATTTGTTTCCTACAGAGGCCAGTATTTCTTCAGTTAGCTCTTTAACTGATTCTGTTAACATCATACCTGATGACAAATCCCAACAAGGTATTTGGTTTATTTCTTATCAGCATCACCCTCATCGTTTTCTTTGTTTCTAATCTTCCAAATGTGTTTGAGAAGGGGGTAATATGACTTTTATTTGATAGGGTTACCGAAAGTGGAAGAATCCAGCTGGTGGTTTAAATCCTTTTTCCATTCTGAACCTGTGCTTTCAGATGTAAGAGGAAAAGATCTGTCTGCTAGTGGGTATGTCTTAGTTTTTCTCTCATAAAGATATTTCCTTATCAGAATGAAACAATATAGGTAGTAATTACTATGTTAACCATTAGGGATAAAACACAGTTGTTTCTTAAGGGTGGTGAAGGCTTTAATATAAAGCATACTTGAGGGATTGAGATGGGGAAGACGTTTGCTCCCCCATTTTGTTAACCATCAGTCAAATCATGAGCACTCTTTCTAATTCTGTCACTAAAGAGAAATTGAAAGTCACGTGTCAGTTTTTATCATTGTTTAGGAGAGATAGATTGGGAATCAGAGGCAAATTTCTAAGTTTGTTTTTCCAGTACTTTCAAGAAACAAATAACACTTATCTACTCTAATAAAAGGAAACATAGCTTCTTGGAGAAATAGCCAGCTCCAGGACAGGGAAGGAAAAGAAAAAAAAAAAAGAATCTGGACCATCTTATGGTGTGAAAAAGAAAGAAAAGCTCAAAAAGTGATGGAGATATGTCAAAATGACATAGGACCCAAATGGCCAAATCTGGGACAATTTCAGCAACAAAATAATGATAGTAACAGATAATTGCCCATTGAATAAAATAAAACCTGTTAATTATTATTGATATATATTAATGAATAAACAAATGAGAGAGAAGGGAAAGCTCTTTATTGCAGTATTCTAATAAATGTAGAAGGAATGATGGAAATAGAGAATTACCACTTCACATATATTACAGTAATAATTGTTCCAGGCAAGGATTATCAATGGGTGCTAAAATAAATGAGGACAAGTATGAGAAATGAGTTCTTCTCAGAGTGTCTCCCCATAAATATTTATTAATTAAAAGGGGAAAATAGTAATTTTCCAATGGAGAAAACTATCGGATACCACCTTAACAAAAACAAACAGAAAACAATTATTTAGGCCCTAGACAGCCTACTTTAGTCCCACTGCTGGCTTTGATTGGCCTCTGTATGGTGCCAGTTACTAGATAGAAGATTGTATTGGTGGGTTTGCATACAAGTGTTTCTACATATTTTGAACCCTAACACACTGAATAGCACAGTTGTTATTCTAATGGTTTCTAAAATACTTATTTTGTTTTTTTAGACACTTAACTAACAACTAGTTACTAAGTAGAAAAAAAGAATAAATAATAATGGATTTCATAGATCCTAATGTTAAAACATAAGGGTTTTTTTATTTTAATATGCTATGTTAATCACCATACATTACATCATTAGTTTTTGATGTAGTTTTCCATGAGCACTGGGTGTTATATGAAAACATAAGGGCTTGAATGAATTTTTTACATATATAAATTTGAAATAGAATCAATTAAATATGGATACTTTTAAAAATCAAAGAGAAAAAATCAAAGTGAAGTTAATTGTTGAAAACATGTATTCTTTATCAAGTATAATAATTTGAGTTATCTAGGTAACTTTCACTCATTTTTCCACTTTACTTCGACTATAAAGACAACTTACAGCTAAGCATTTCTCAGCTAACTGTGTATGACAGTTCAATGAACATTGTTGTAATAGCTAATTATTTTATACAGCACTAATAGTTGACAATCAAGAAGATTCTACCTGCTGAGGTGCTATGTTTGTGAACCACACATTTTAGTACTAAGCTATTCCAGATGACCTTTCTTCATTATAAGAAGACAGAAACCTGTTGGAGAAGCCATTTATGAGATAGGATCCCTGCAGCCACCCATACAGCAAAAGATTAGGCATTTCCCTCATTACACAGACTGTTGCTGCAAGTGGCATCAGCAACATGGAGAATATTGGAAAAGTATGCCTTTGAAAACATGTGCCTTTTTAATGTAATAAGAGTCTTCAGGGCTCCTGGGTGGCTCAGTTGGTTAAGTGACTGCCTTCGGCTCAGGTCATGATCCCGGAGTACTGGGATCGAGTCCCACATCGGGCTCCCCCTTCTCTGTGGGGAGCCTGCTGCTCCCTCTGCCTCTGCCTGCCACTCCCCCTGCTTGTGCTCACTCTGTCTCTCTCTCTCTGTCAAATAAATAAATAAAATATTTAAAAAAAAGAGTCTTCAAATGTAGTGATTTGTATGAAGTAACTTTTTTTATACACATTATTTTTCAAAAAGTTTTCAAAAGTTCCTAATTGACATTTTCAGAAAATTGTCAGACTCTATATGCTTGTTGAATGATTTATTATACCTTAAAAGTGAAACATTGATACCTAAGAATGGTTTAAAGGTCATCGAATTCAGAAATGTAGAGAGCAATTGCAAAATTGTATTTTTAATCATGAGCATTGGAAATAAAATACATCCCCATAAATATATTACCTGTTAAAATATATTCCTGTATAATGTACAGGAATACATTATACATTATATTATATTCCTGTATAGTTAATTTGTTATTTGTAGACTTTAAAATTCATGATTTTAAAAAATATTTAACAATATAAAATAATCTATATGTGGTGTGATTTTAGTTGTGCTAGATATGTATGTATTCATAATAATAGACTGAGAAGAAATACACCAAAATGGTAAGAGTGGCTATTTCTGGAGAAAGAATTATAGATGATTTTCATTTTCTTCTTTGTCTTTTTTCTGTATCTTTTCAAATTTTCTAATATGATGTTTTGTGTATAATTAGAAAATAATAGATGTTATAATAAAAAACACTGGACACATTTTGTGAGCCAACCTACATTGGCTAGAATATTCCCTTCTTTCCTCAATATGGGGTAGATAATACTAAATGAGTTTTGGTTGAAAAGTTTCTGTATACAGCGTGCAAATATTTTTCAATGAAGATGTAAGGCTTTCAAAATTAGGGATGGTGAATTCACTCAGGTTGATGTCACTAGTCTTATGTGACTATTGTTGCATTGAACATCCAGGAGAACACACATGATTGTTAGTAAGACTGTCTTCTTACCCAGCTCTATCAGGACTGACCATTTACAGTGATGGACACGACTGACCAATTATTTACTACTCTTTCCAAATGGGACATATGTTCCTTCAATTTTGTGTTTTTCTATCACTCTGCTGTCAATGAAGAGACTCATATATCATGTTGGCCCAATAGTATATCATTATTTACATGCTGGTGCTCTTCTGGTGGTTGCTTGCATTTATACTTTTAATAAATTTGAGGAGGCTGAGTAAATTTTTAGACTATATATCTCATTTGGCTTTAGCATGAAATTAAATTACAGTGATGGAAGACTATTTTTTTTCTAAAGTGAGAGAAAAATATGATGAAACAAATATGGTAAATTGTGGGAGGTTTTGTTTTTCTCTTTAAGATTATCAACAAATTCCTTTTTCTTAGCCACTTGGTATATGTGTGAACAGATTGCTTGTTTAGATTATTTGATGCATTTCCCCAAATAGGTTATCAAGTTGATATTTACTTTGTTTACTCAGAAAGATAGCATTTATTAAATTATACCTTTTGCCTATGTATTTGTATATTTTGAATGTGTCAAAATGACTGCTTTTAAAGTAGTTTAGTGTTACTGTTGCTGAAAGTTATTGTTTAAAGTAGTTGGATGTTACATAAGATTTTTAGTCAAACATAATGAGCATAAATAGTTATTAAGCATTTTAGAGTGGCTAATACACACATATATATATGTGAGACTAGATGATGGATGGATGGATGGATGACTAGATAGATAGATGATAGATGATAGATAGATAGATGATGATAGATAGATGATAGATAGATGATAGATAGATATAGATAGATAGATAGATGATAGATAGATAGATAGATAGATAGATAGATAGATGATAGATAGATGATAGATAGATAGATAGGTAGATGATAGATAGATAGATAGATGATAGATGATAGATAGGGATCCTGAAAAAAATATATAAGGAATCTTTTAGAAAAGCAATGTTAAAGTGAACTTTTAAAAATTGAAAGGATTCTTGTGTGCTATCCCAGAATTTGTACAGAGTGAGGATGATATAAAGAGAGAACAAAATGTCTTCTAGATAGATTCTAGTTAATTGCTTCTAATGTAGTTTTCCTATAGTTCAGACACCTTGGGGCTGTGTTTAAAAAGTACTTCTCACATATATCTCAGCATAACTGTGTTATTTTAGTTCAAACATCCCCTGCCTGGCTTTGTTGCCTATTGGCTAGATAACAAATAGTGGAGACTAAATATATTACAGGGGTGCCATAACTCCATATGACTTGAGATGTGCTATATAATCCCTCTAATTTAATATTATGAAATGTTATTTGACTTGGCTGGGATGTCTGTATTAAATGCAACTAGGTTTTGACTATTTCTGCTCAGGTTCTGTGAAATTATATGTTAAGGTTCCACTAATTTTTTGAGATATGATTTTTTTAAAGATTTTATTTGTCAGAGAGGGAGTGCACACAGGCAGGGAGAGCGGCAGACAGAGGGAGAAGCAGACTCCTTAGCTCAATGCGGGACTCAATCCCAGGACCCTGGGATCATGACCTGAGCCGAAAGCAGAAGCTTAACTGACTGAGCCATCCAGGTGTCCTGAAATATGATTTTGATAGCAGGTTCCACGTTATTGAACCCACATTTTTTTATAGATAAAACCACCAACAGCCAATTCATCAATTCTCACTAGAGTCAAAGTCCTCTAGCTGGATTTTAGGCCTACTTGGTGCTTTATAGATTATGCAGAAGTTTAGGTTGTAGGAAATAAAATTCAGGTATTCCATTTGCCTATTAAAAAGTGATAATGGAAAATAATTGTTTAAGTCAAATGGAGTAGCTAAACTTCCCACTCATAGAAATTCAAAAAATGTAGGATCGTAATTTATCCATCCTCCCAATGACATCCTCCAAAAGAACATGCCAAAACCCAGCTCATGATCAGCTAGCTCACAATATCTCCTTGTTTTTTCTCCTTTCTCAGAAAATGGTGACACATTCACCAGCTCAAACATGTTTGTTATCTGTGATATTTGCCTTTTTATTCAAGCCAATACCATGTCCTTTTGATTTTATTTTTTATATTTTTTTGATCTACCTACCTATTTGCTTTCCCACCAG